CCAAGATAGATTTCCGTCCCCACTGAGACTGCTTGTGATGCGAACGGGAGGGAGAGGATGTCCATCAGGGTAAGAAGACAGCGTCGACCCAGAGGTCAGCTACAGAAGGACACAGCACATTGCAGCTCAGCCTGCCCTCCTCTGGCGCCAGCAAACACAAGGACCACGCCCCGGGCCCTCACTGGGGGATTCTAGGCGGGGGCCCACCCTGACCACGCCCCCAGCCCCTCCCTGGGGGTTCTAGGCGGGGCTCCACCCTGTCCCCGAAGTTCTTTCTGCCCTTTGAGGGCGGGCGACACTGTACCCAGGCTGGCCTCCTGCCGCAGCCTTTTCTAGGAGTAGGATGAGCGTCTGTGCCAGGAGTCCCAGGCTCACGCCCACGGTTTACACGCTGAGGAGTCCCAGCGCGCCGGGATTTCTCACAGCCGCGGTCACTACGTTGCTATGGCAGCCTTCCGTCCGGCGCTGCGGGGGCTGGCCACGCCCTTCTTGCCCCTGATTGGAGGCGGCCCGGGCCCCGGTTGCTCTCAGCACAGAAGGGGGGACTGAGGGCTGACGCTCTTGTCCCCAGCGTGAGGCCCTGGTGTGACTCGGGACGTGGCTCACACACAGAAATCCAGCCGGCGCTGCATGAGATTTGGCGAGCGCGCTTTTGGCTTTCGTGTTCGTTTGGTTGTTGTTGGGACAGAGTCTTGCGGTGTAGCCCGGGTGGCCTGGGACTTCATCACAGAGATCCGCCTGCCTCAGACTCAGAGCTGGGATTAAAGGAGGCTGGGCTTTTTGTTTGTGAAACAGTCACGTTCTGTTACCTGCATTGCTGGAAAACTCACAGCAATCCTCCTGCTTCAGGTCCCTGGGGCTTGGGGTTACAGGCATTTGTTACCAGGATCCATTTAACGATTTCCCTTTGTCTTTTCTTCCTTTCTCTCTCTCTCTTCCTTTCCGTTCCTTTTCTTTTTTGTCTGTTTGTTTTCGAGACAGGGTTTCTCTGTGTAGCCCTGGCTGTCCTGGCACTCACTCTGTAGATGAGGCTGACCTCGAACTCAGATAACCTGCTTCTGCCTGCTGAGTGCTGGGATGACAGGCGTGGGCCAAGGCCTGGCCTCATTCTTTCCTATGGTTGTTGTTATTTATTTGTTATTACTGTGTCTATATGCATGTGTGTCCGTGTGTGTGTGTCCCTGTGTGAGTGTGGCCGTCAGAGGACCCTTGTGGTAGTACTTTCTCCCATGTGGGGTCTCAAATCAAACTGGAGGCCCCAGGCGCCCCTCACCCACTGAGCCATCCTGTCAGCCCCAGGATTCCTTTCTTTTCTTTTATTGTTGGTTTTGTTTTGTTTGTGTTTCTAAGAAAGACTCTATGTAGCCCAGGCCAGCCTGGAACTCGGTAGGTGGTGGAGGGTGACCTTGAACTTCTGTTTCTCCCCCCAATGCTGGCCCGGCAGGCAAGGGTCACCACACCCGTGTCAATCCTGCTGTTTCTGAAGCGCCCTGCTAGCCCCTGGGGAGAAACTTCCAGAAAGTCTCCGTGGGCGGGCAGGGCGGGCCAGCTCCCCTTTGTGGAGGAACTTCTGCCTAGAAGGAAATCGTCCTGGGAGGTGAGGAACTAGCGCATTCTGTGTTGGTTTATTTTTAATAAACCGCCCGTCGTGGGCTCGGGCGTGGGAGATTCTCGCAGCGCGCTCCCGCTCGACGCCCACGAGCAGATGGAAATAAGCGCGGTAGGTAGGTCGCTGAGCGAGTGCAGCCACGCGGGAGGCTCCGGGCTCTGTCCTGTGCTCACCCCAGAGGGGCGCGTCCTGGGCAGACAGCAGTCCCGGGCCACCCCAAGCTCGGTGACCTGAGCCCCGAGGTCAGATGTGACAGCACGCACCTCCCCGCCCAGCACGCGGGAGGCTGAGGCAGGGGCATCACCCGGAGTTTAAATTCAGGTCGTACCACCCGCTGAGAAGGCGGGCGGGGCTGCTTCGAGGGGGTCGCGCTTCCCGCTGGCCCCCGGGCCTGGGGCCTGGGCACGGCAGCCCCTTCTGGCCTCTGCAGGCCCCTGGCACGCTGGCGGCCTTCCTGGAAGGATGAAGGGAAGCGGATCTGTAAGTATTTCCGGGTGGCCCACGCCTTTAGCCCGGCCCTCGGGAGGCAGTGGCGGGCAGGTCTCGGAGTTCGAGGTCAGCCTGGTCTCCAGAGCGTGTTCCAGGGTTAGCCTAAATAAGAAAGAAAGATGTGTCAGCTGGGGAGAGGAAGTCAGTTCCAGGGTTAGCCCTGTGTGGTGGGTGAGGGCGTGTAAGCCAGCCTAGGCCAGTGAGCACTAAGCTGGGCTTGGCAGTAGGGCCTGGCAGTGGGGCCCAGGCGGAGAAGAAGGGTTATGAATCCTCTGTCCCCTTAGCTATTTGGAGGTCAGGACATCCTAAGCCCCCCCCCCCCCCCCCCCCCCCCCAGTTAGACTCTCATGTAGCCCATAGGGTGTCAGCGCAGCCGGTTTCTGAAGGAGCCCCGAGGCTTTGAATTTTCTTTTTTTTTGGACAGGGTTTCGCTGTAGAGCCCTGGCTGTCCTGGACTCACTCTGCTGGGATTAAAGGCCATTGCCAACAGCGCTCTCCCGACCCTTGCCAAAGATGTGTTTGTCCTTACTTCCGGGCAGAAATGTCTCACCTGCACCTGTGTCTGCACTGTGCACCGCTCTGCACAGGCCAGAGGACAAGCCCGGAGCTGACTCATGGATGGTTGTGGGCTTCCGTGCTGGGGCTGGGGACCAAACCGGGGCCCTGGGCAGGAGCAGCCAGGGCTGTAACGACCAAGCATCTCTCCAGCCTGGGTCAGGTTTTGCAAGTAGGTCATAAGGGCTTGTTTGAAAAAAGGCGGGGTGAGGACAAAGCACAGACACACACACATGCACACAGACACACACAGACACCTTCCCAGCCATTTCCAACGATGAACAGGCAGGAGTGGAGGCATTCATCAGGGCGCATCTACCCTGGAATACTACACAGCCACGAACAAGAATGAGCGTCTGAAGCCCACCCAGCTCAGGGGGACCCTGAAGACACTGTGCTCTGTATAAGGACCAGACACAAAAGTCTACATGAGGAACTCCATGACAGTAAATGATGAGGACAGGGGATCCAGAGCTGGCTAGGGGGGTTTGGGTGCTGGGGTCTGGAGGGGAGACAGGTTAGTGTATGTGAGGAGGGAGCTGGGAAACTGTCTACACAGAGCTGTGGGTGAGATGTCAATTAAAGGGCAAAATTTGCCCCAACAACAAAGCGGCGACCCAGTCCCCAGGGCCTCTCAAAACCCGCCCAGGCTCCACACAGGCCCTGTCACCTTCCACGTGGGCACTCTGACGGAAGGCCAAGGTGTCCACCGCCTTCACTTGAAGTGGCCCTGCTGGGCCTCTGTGCAGTTTTTCCTCCTCCCCCAAACCCACCAGACCTGCTGATCTCCCACGGAAGCCACGGGTGGTTCTGTTCAAGCAGAGCCCAAAGGAGCAGGCTCAGCCCACCCTCAGCCACACCAGAAAGCTCAGCCACACCCTCAGGTCTAAGATGCACCCAGACCCAGAGCCAACTCTAGCTCGGAGCCCTGGCATCTCTTTCCCCAGCTCCCTGCCGGGCGGTGACAGCTCCCATGTGCCGGGGTGACGGGCACGAATTTCTGTGTCAGGCATTGTATCTGTCCTTGTGGTTTGAATGTAAGTGGCCACATAGGCCCATAGGGAGTGACACTATTAGGAGGTGTGGCCTTGGGGTCAAAGGTGCTCAAGCAGGCCCAGAGTCACTCTCTCCTCCTGCTCCCCACAGACCAAGATGAAGAATGCCCAGCTCCTTCCCCAGTGCCATGTCTGCCTGCATACGACGATCAACCTGTAAGCCAGCGCCAGTGAAAGGCTCTCCTGTACGAGAGCTGCCTTGTCATGCCATCTCTTCACAGCATTAGAAACCCTGACTAAGACAGTCCTGGTTGGGTTTTTGTTCTTGCCAACTTGACACAAGCCAGAACTGAGGAACCTCCACTGAGAAAACCTCCATCACATTGGCCCGTGGACAAGTCTGTAAGGCGCCTTCTTGATGAATGATTGACGTGGGACCTCTGGGAGCACAAGAAAATACGCTGGTGGGCATGGTGGCGCACGCCTTTAACTCCAGCACTCAAGAGGTAGGGGCAGGTGGAGCTCTGAGTTCGAGGCCAGCCTGGTCTACAGTGGGAGTTCCAGGACAGCCAGGGCTACACAGAGAAACCCTGTCTTGAGAAAAGAGTGAGCCTAAGCTGCAGTTCCCAGAGGCACCGATGGCACTGTCCCAGCTTGTTCTCAGTGAAGCCTCCTGGGCCCTGAAGGTGCCGAACAGTGTCCCTCCCCATCTCACCCACTCTGCACCGGAGCAACTGGCCTGGTGACAGCCACCATGTCCCTAGACCCAGCCCAGGACTCACCCTACCTTGTTCCACAGTCCCTTTCCTGGCGACCCTCATTCAAGCGAGCATCTGCTGTTGACTTCAGTTCCACAGCCCCACTCCCGGCACTAATTTCTAGAGGTCAAAATCAACCGAGCTCACATCGCACAAGAAAGGCCCCCCAAGCAGGTGCTCCTCCCAGCCTCCGTGCAAAGTGGGTCTGCAGAGGCCAGGTGTGATGGGGCACACCTGTGATCCGAAAGGTGGGAGAGGCTGAGGCAGGAGAATTGCCTCTAGTTCCAGTCCAGCCAGGGCTACAGGACACCCTGTCTCATAACAAGAAAGCTGGAGAGAGAGACAGCTGAGCAGGGGAGAGCACTTGTTGCTCTTGCGGACGACCAGATTCCGTTCCCAGGACCCAGACAGCAGCTCCCAAACAGCCAGTTGGGGTTCCAGTTCTGGGGTTCTGATGGCCTCTTCCCATCTCCGCCTCCGCTCACATGGTGCCCACAGCAGCACCCGGGCAGAACTCCTAGGTAAGGAAATAAGTAAATCCAAAACAAAACAAAACAACGAAAAGAGGCAGACAGCAGTGTTCACGGTCGTGTCCTCTTTAATGAAAAATCCAGTGAAATTCTAGCTCGAATAGTCATACTATAAATAAGGAAGGCCCCACCATCGGCGGCCCCATGCGCCCGCCCTCCACAGACGCGCTGCGGTGCGGAGGCGCAGACAGAGCAGAGCCCAGGCCTCCAGAGGTCGGCTCATGAGACACTCTGCAGCAGGCGAAGCCCGTGGCGCAGGCGCTGGTGGACCAGGACGCTGCAGCCGTGACTCCGAAGGACGTCCAGTGAGTAGGAGGTGCCAGTGCCCGGGCCGCCCGGCTCCCAGAGGGTGAGCAGGAAGTCCTCGCCATCCCCACTCAGCACCAGCTGGCTTTGGGATGTTTTGAAGCTGACCTGGGAGAGACACTAAGGTCAAGGCTAGCGCTGTCGGCTCCAACGCTGACCCTCAGCACAGACACGGCTGCAGGAGCCGCACAGGTTCAGATTTAGGGTTAAGGGCAGAGGACTGGGGACCCCAACTGGGGACTCCCACCCCGGCTCACACTCACGCCCCTTTCGTTTATCCTCTCTCTTATTTTTTGCAGTTATTATTTGTGTGTATTTGTATGTGGGTTTGCCATGGCCCAGGAGGAGAGGTCAGAGCACATTCAGGAGCCCTCTCCTGCCACCGTGTGGGTCCTGGGGGTTGAACTCAGGTCATGAGGCTTGGAGCCACCTTGTAGACCCATCCTTTATTCTATTTCGTTATTTTTTTAACTTCTATTAATTACACTTTATTTACTTTGTATCCCCCCATAAACCCCTCCCTCCTCCCCTCCTGATCCTACCTTCCCTCCCCCTATTCCATTATTTTTGTGTCATGGAAGTTTAGGTTCCTTTAAAAACTCAATTATGTTATGTAACTATGTTTTTGTTTTAGTCCCAAGGGTAGGATTTTAGTTTGGGCTTTAGTTTGTCCCCAGCTGATCAAGGCCCCTGTGGGGCGTGGTCTTTGTCAGCTGGTACCCGCCTGCCTGGGGCAGCAGAGAGGGGCGTGGTCTGGGACCCTGAGGGATGTAAAGGGCCTGGAAAGAGAAACGGTGGCCATTAGGAGAGAGCAGAGACGAGGAGGAGGCAGATGGAGAGAAACACCTCAACACAGAGGCTTGCAGGAGACTGTTTGCTGTTGACCGAGCCCCACACGAACCCATCGACCCTCAACAGCTGGGAGAAGCAAAGGGGTCTGCGCCTCCTCTCCCCACTAACCTTCTCTCTCCTACCTAGGGCTAAAGGGTTGGTGGGAGGGAAGTGGAGGCTTTAATACCCCAAATAAAATAGGGTTTAAAAATCAAATGCAACATTCTTGGTTTTCTTTGACATGGTTTCGTGTGACTCAGGCTGGCTTCAAACTCACGATGTGGCCAAGGATGACTTTGAACTTCCGAGGCTATTTATCATAAAGGTTTTCTGTCTTCATTATTACTTATGTTTCTCTGTGTCCAGCACAGCTGCGACTTCAGCAAAAGCCTCCGAGGGAAGTTCCGGCCACCTCAGGTCCAGTCCAAGCCCCCGCCCAGGAGAGGCCCCCTTTGCATCTCAGTCCCCTCAACTCCACACTGTACCCAGTGGCATCGGGGCCTGCTGTCTCGTTCCTAGGCCAGGCCTGGTGCATCGTTACTTCAAGCTGAGGGCACAGGATATCATATCACACGCTCCGGACTCCACAGCTGTCAGAGGTGGCACACTCCCTGTGTCTCGAGGGAAGCTCGGGTCACTCACCTGCACTGTCCCGTTGCTGAACAGCATGACCAGAGCCTGGGAGTCAGCTACGAAGCTCAGCAGAGAGAAGTCAGGAGAGGCGGGCAGGGCAGACATGGCCACAGTGCCCTCCTGTGGGGAATGCTCTGGATCAGGATCCCCAGGTCCCCGGGTCCCTCTCCTGGGCCCACCCGCACCCCACGCCCTCACCTCCCGCAGACGCCGCTGCATGTAGCAGGCAAAGAGCCTCAGGACGGCCAGCTTGGCACGGAGTGGGCCCGGGACGTCCCTCAGGGTGAAGGTCCACAAGGTCCCTTGGTCGGGTTGGTAGGAGACATGGCTGGGGACCAGTGGCCTGAATGAGTCTCTGTCCTGGGCACCCCATGCCTGGGGCCATGCTCCCACACAGCTGCGCCTTCATGCAGCCCCCAACAGGGAGGGTGTTACCCAGCCCACAGGTGCCTCTCCTTGCCCTCCCAGACCACATCCTCTCCTGTCTCCACGGACATGGCCCCTGCCCTTCTGGTCATCCCAGCCTCCTCCCTGCCTGCCTTCCCACCAAGAACACCATGGTGAAAATACCAGGGCCTACGGGGTGGGCTCCGTGGTAGAGGATTTGCAAAGCCCTGGGTTTCCACACCCAACAAAAAGAAAAACAGAAATGAGTCAAACTGGACGATGGTGGCACGGGCCTTTAATCCCAACACTTGGGAGGCAGAGTCAGTCAGGAGGGTCTCTGGGAGCTGGAGGCCAGCCTGGTCTATAGAGTGAGTTCCAGGACAGCCCCCCAGGGCTTCGTGAAGAAACTCTGACTTGTTCACTGGGCCCTCCCACTGAGAACGCAAACAAGAGATGTGGGGTCCTCTGGGGTCCCACAAATTACCCTCCTGGGGAACGCAGGGCCATGTGGGAGCCGTCCCGAAACAGCACACCACTGCCCCCATCTGACAGCTGGTAGCCGAGACCATACTTGAGGGAGCAGTCCACCCACTTGGGAGCCCAGAGCACGGGCTGGTGCTCCCCTGGCCCGTCCTCTGCAGCTGAGCATAACAGGGCAGAGAGGAGAGGAAAGAGGATCAGGTACTGGGCGGGCTGGGCCGGGCCGGAGGTGCCTGGGTTAGGGCCCGTCCAGGCTGCCTCAGCCATGTAGTTGTGAGCTGTCCTACCCACAGGTCCTGCGTCCAAGCAGAGGTTCAGTTTTCTGGCTGCCTCCTCCAGCTGCAGTGCCAGGCTCCCCTTTGGGTCTGTTGAGACAGAATTGTGCAGGTGCCCAGACAGCCCTGGCAAGCGGGGGGGGGGGGGCTCTTCCCCTCAGCCCTGGCCTCCACACTTTCATCCGTGAAAGGGTCACGCCAAACCCCACTATCGCAGGCGTTCGTTATGTCCTACAAGTGGACAAGCTGAGGCCAGACAGGGGTTGGGATCTTTGGCAGGACGGGGTGTGGGGAGAGTCCCTGGCCCCCGGCACCTGTGGTCTGGGATGAGGCTCTCTGCGGCTCACCTGCCAGGTCAGTCCGCAAGGTCCTGAGAGTGAGGAGGTGGACTTGGCTCCCAGAGCCGCAAGGACCCCCTTCCTGAGACAGAGAGGTGTTCAGAGAGAGAGGAGAAGCACATCTCCCACGCAAAGGGAGCCCCAGAGCCCACCGCTTCACACAGAGGACAGGTTTTCCTGTCAGACAAAACCCGCCAGATGCACAGAGGCACACAGCAGGCACTCCATAAATGCCGTGCAAAGAAAACTGATGTGAACAGGGTCCCACGGTCTCAGAGAATGTTAGGGTGGGGGACAGTACGGTCAGAGTACGTCAGAGCTGTAACTGGCCAGCTTAGAATTCCCCAGTAAGGGGCTAGGGGCATGGTCAGGGGTTGAGTCCTGCCTAGAATCCCCCAGTGAGGGCCTGGGGTGTGGCTCAGGGATGGCAGGGCTTGGATCCCTAGAGTGGATGGATGGAAGCTTCCATCTGGAGGTGCGAGATGCAAGAGGCTTGCACTGAGGGCCTTTCTAAGTTCTTTTCCACAACCCTCACTCTGGATTCACCTCATTGCTGGACTCCATGTGTTCAGGTTCCACTCCCTCTTCTCCAGGCCCCGAGGCCTCTTTTGAGGTAAAGGGACCTGAGGGAAACCCAGGTTTGAGGGGCAGTGAGGACAATACCCCCCACCCCCTCATCCACTCTGCCACGGCCACGAAAAAGTCCCCACGGAAAGGAGAGACGAGTACAGATGAGGACATACAGGTGACAGACAGCTGGTCTAGGACAAGGAAGAGGCTATGACCAGTCAGGGGACAGCAACTCACAAGGCGGCCGGCACTGGGTTAGCAGGAGCTGGCCCACCTTCCGGAACACCCTGCGGAGCGGTGGGGGGAAGGCGAAGACGGGAGGGCTGTGGCAGGAGTGGGGAGGCAGGCGCTCGGGAGTGAAGCCCTGCGGAGTGGTGAGCTCAGGGTCAGCCTTGGATAGGCTGGTTCCTGGGTCCCCAGGCCCACCCTGGATGTCACCTCCTCGCCTGGGTGAAGAAGTCATCCTGGAGTAAGTGGTCCAGGCTGGGCCGCTCAGAGGGGTCGGGTGCCAGGAGCCTGGCAATGAGGCTGCGGGCGCTGGGCGACAGCTGGGTGGGCTCCGGGTAGTGGCCGTTTCGGATGTTCTGGTACATCTCTGACAACGGTGCCGCGGCGGCGAAGGGTGGCGTGCCTGTCAGAACCGTGTACCTGGGGCCAGGTTGGGCGAGCAAGAGCAAGTCAGGGACTCCAGAGTGGTTAGGGCACTTTCACACTTTTTATTCACCTGCCACACACACACACACACACACACACACACACACACACACACACACGTTTCCCATCTCTGCACTCTGCAGGGCTGCCTGCCTGTCTGCACCCTGCTTTCCCTGCACACACCTTCTATTTTTACTTTTTATTTTTGCTTTTTTCGAGACAGGGTTTCTCCGCGTAGCCCTGGCTGTCCTCGATCAATCTGTGGACCAGGCTGGCCTGGAACTCACAGAAAGCCCTCTGCCTCGGCCTCCTGAGTGCCGGGATTCAAGGCCCCACCACGCCTGTCTCCTTTTAAATGCTTGTGTGTTTGTTTGCTTTTGAGGCTTGGACGCCTGATCTTCATGGCCTCACCACCCCAGTCCTGGGATGACAGCTGAGCACTGCCGTGCCAGGCTCCTGTGGCTCTGAAGATGGCAGCCAGGGCTTTGATGCATGTGGACCAGAGCTTTAACCAAACCCTAGCCCCAGCCGCAGCCCCAGCCGGAGGCCCAGCCGGAGGCCCACTTTAATTTAATTGGCTCCCAAGATGGGACCAGAAACCCAAACCTGGCCATCCGGGCCTACGCTCAGTGGCTGCCGTGGTGTACAAAAGACACCTGAAAGACAGCAGTGACCACCGCCAGCAGGCTGAGTGGTCTCCGAGTTCAAGGCCAGCCTGGTGTACACAGCCAGCTCCAGCTAGAGCTCACACGGCTAACCTGCTGTGCGCCTGCACGCCCACCCATGCTCGCCCCTCCAGCTCGCTCCGGTCCCCCCCCCCCGTCCCTGGTAAGGAAGAAGTTACCTGCGGGCGGAGGAGCGCAGCGTGAACCCCCGCCCTCCGCCCCCCCCCCTCCCGGAAGTCCCTTCCTCGCGCTTACTGGGCTTCAGGTCTCTGTGCACGATGCGTTGCTGGTGCAGGTAGCGCAGGCCGCTGACCAGGCCCCGGAAGTAGTAGCGCACCTCGGGCTCCGTCAGGGTCTGGCGCGCCTTCAGCACGTGAGCCAAGGACTACGGGGGCACGGGGCACAGGGCTGAGGCTGGGTGGGCCCGGGCGGACGGGGTGGGCCCTCGTGGGGACAGGGGGCACTAAGGGGCAAAGACGCCTCCCCGGCTCTCGGTGGCCTGAGCCATGCCCCACCGCCCCACACTCTCAAGCAACAGGGAGCGCTCACCACTGCCCCGCACCTCCAGGCCTGGCCTACCCGGTGCCCACCACCAGGCCCCGCCCACGGCAGCCGGCCCCGCCCACCTGGCGGCTACAGTACTCCAGCACCATGTACACGTGGTCGCGGTCAGCGAAGTGGGCGTGAAAGGCCACGATGTTGCGGTGGCGCAGGCGGCTGTGCAGGGCGATCTCGCGCTCCACCTGCGTCCCCATGAAGGCCCCTCAGCTGCGGAGCAGGCGACGGGCCCCAGGCCCGGCTCGCTCGCAAGGAGGACGGCAGGGCTGCGAGTGTGTCTGTGTGTGCGTGTGTGAGTGCGCGCGTGTTTAACTGTGTGTGTGAGGGAGAGACGGGCTGGGGGGGGGGGGTCTCACCTTCCCCCGCAGGCGCAGCCGCCCGGCTCCGGCCCTCGGCACCACCTTGAGGGCGAACACCGCGCTGGTGGACATGTCCGTGAGCTTGTAGCAGCGGCTGAAGGCGCCCTGAGGACAGTAGGCAGGTGTGGACAGCGGGCACGCCCGGAGACACGGGCCGACGACACCCTCGGCCAAGACACTGCAGTGGGCACACCCCGACCCCCACACCAGAGCAGAGACCCACGGACTGGGCCGGAGCGGGAGACCCGCGCGCTCTGCTGGACGGGAAGTGAGGGGCCCAGACAGCCAGACACACACACTGACATCCGTGCCCCACCCGGACACTCCCTCACACAGAGCCCCGACCGGCGCCCCCCAGACCCCTGGCACTCACAAACACGCGCACACAACGCGGCTCGCACCCGGACACAGCACAGTGGCAGGCGCCCAGCGCGCAGACGCTAAACCCCCAGATGCACAAGAAACAAACTCGCGAGGCCCCCGGACCCGGCGCGGAGACGCAGAGGAACCCCCAGACGCACGGCTCCCACCCAGAGCTCCGCCCGGGCACCCCCGCCCAGGGCACAGCCTTTAGCCCGGGCGCGCCCCCGGCGACCCCCGGACACGCCCGCGCCGAGCCAGACTCCGCCCGCGCATCCGACTCCCGTCCCTCGGACTCCTGAGCTCGACGCGCAGCGCCCTCCGGGGTCCAGCCCGCACACGCAGCCCCCGGCCGCAGCCCCCGGCCACAGCCCGGCGCCGGAGCGGAGGGACGGCCGTCGCCGCGCAGAGAGCACTGGGGGACGCCGGGCGCCCGCGCGGGACTCGCACACGCCCCGCAGACAGCGCGCCCAGCGCGCTTCCCGCCTCGCCGTCCGCGGGGCACGGCGGCCCGGACCCCAAACCCAGGAGGCCCGAGGCTCCGGCCGCGGTGCGCGCATTCCCGCCCTGCCCGAGCCCCCCCCACCCGGCTCTCCCCCTTCCCGCGCTTTGAATCCGGGGTGTGTGCGCGCGCGCGCGGGAGCCCCCACCTTGCCGATCAGCTTCCCGCGCCGGTACACGCGTCCGGAGCCCGGGTCCCGCAGGAAGGCGGCCACG